GAGAGAGGAAGGGAGAGGGATAGAGAGATAGAAACATCAATGATGAGACAGGACCATTGATCAGCTGACTCCTGCACCGCCCCCTCCCTGCGACTGGGGATTAAGCCTGCAACTTGGGCATGTGCCCTGACTGAGGAATCAAACCAGTGACATCTCGGTTCCTGGGTCCATGCTCAACTGCTGAGCCACACCAGCTGAGTGGGAGTCACCTACCTTTAAGGCAGGGATGTAGGAAAGGAGCACACACAACTCACTGCAATGGAAGAAACAAAGAGGTGGGTGTTGGCAAGGGAGCCAAGAGAGGAGAGAGTCTGAAGAGGAGGGAGAGGTTCAAGATGGTCAAAGGTGGCAGGAGGTCAAGTTAGATAAGAGCTGAAAAGCACCTATGGATTGAGCAACATGGAGGTCGATGGTGACCTTGGTTGGTGCCTTCAGTCCAGTGGTGGTAGTTGGATGCAGAAGGTTAAGTGGTAAGAGGGAAAGACAGAGACATGGGCCAATGGGCAACTCTTCCCAAACATTTGGCAGTGAAGGGGGAAGGCAAGTGGCTACTTGCTAGAGAGGCTACTGTCTTCTCTAAACAAATGACCCTAGTTTACAGAAAGAGACAATATTCCACAAGCTGAGTTCACAGGCAGGCCCAGGGGTATTTAATCTTTCTTAGAAGAAATGACATGAAGCTACATTTCTATCCCCCTTACTTTTCCTCATCTCTGAACAGTAGGGGAGAATCAATCTTTCTTTCTTTCTTTCTTTCTTTCTTTCTTTCTTTCTTTCTTTCTTTCTTTCTTTCTTTCTTTCTTTCTTTCATATATTTTTATTGATTTCAGAGAGAAAGGGAGAGAGAGAGAAAGATAGAAACATCAATGATGAGAGAGAATCATTGATCGGCTGCCTCCTGCACGCCCCCCATTGGGGAATGAGCCTGCAACCCAGGCATGTGCCCTTGACTGGAATCAAACCAGGACCCTTCAGTCCGCAGGCCGGCACTCTATCCACTGAGCAAAACTAGCCAGGGCAGGGAGAATTTCTTTTAATTGCTGAGACAAAATTTTACAACTGTGACAATGACGGCGGTTGTTCTGGTTGCTTATACAAGTAATGGCTAAATTGATTTTGGAAGTAGGATTCCAAATTGTAGCACATAATACAATCAGAGGTCCAGAATTATGAGGAGGAAGAGAAAGAGAGAGGGTGAAACAGGAAAACCACCATTGCTGCTATCACTCCATAAAGAATATTGAAATAATGGACCATATTCTGAAAACTTAAAGTGCTCTGAGTAACCGATCAATCCCAAAGGACAGATTAAATTTTTTCTACTTTTAGGAGGAAAACCAGATTTAAAGTTACCTTTGATTTGTCCTTTTGCTTTATTGAATCTTTGAGAGAATTTGGATGTAGGCACCATGTCACCTACACTGTTACTCAAGGTAAGAATTCCATGTTGAGGTTTGTGGGCCTTGGGGCTGTAGTTATCACACTCTCAAAGTAGATTACCAGGTGTTGCATAATTATTGCAACACCTAGTGTGCAAGGAATAAGGAAATTTGCATCTGAGTATAAACATTTGTAGTTAATCCTTGTTTTCCTGGAGAGAGGAGAAAGCCCTGGGACCCCTGATTAAGTCACCTTGCGTAACAAGCTATGGGCATAAAGATGGTTTTCAGAGGTGAAGGGCCTATGTAATTCCTAAAATAAACTTTCCCCAAATGAGAGAGCAAGTAAAAATACTCAGTTAAGAAAACACAAAGCTATGCAGAAAGGATATTGACAGAGGAACCTTCCTTAGGCTCCTCTCACATGGGCGGGTAATTGCCTTAAGGTAAAAGCTCATCCCCTGTGTTCCAGAATATTCTCAGACCATTCAATTCTCTAAAAACTATTCACTGTTTTTGATGAATCAGCATTTTGAAAAACTTGTCTATCTAGGTTAGAAATAAAAAAGCTTGCTGCGAACAAATATCTACATATCTATATCTGTCTTGTAGATGAGAAATATTGCGGTTTTTCCTGAATTTAAACAGTCATCCATGGGGGTCTCTAGCCTGAGAATAATTCTCTATTCCAAATATTTTGAAACATAGAATTAAAAGTGTGTGTGTGTGTGTGTGTGTGTGTGTGTGTGTGTGTATGGTGAGGGTGCAGACTATAGAGTTCACTCCAGATGTGAATTGTGTCCAGGGTGGAGCAAGTGGATTTATAGGAAGAGGAACTCTCATGTTAGTTCGACTCCTAGTTGCCAGCCAAGGTGACTTATTTGGGCATCTGAAGATCAATGTACCTGTGCAGAGACTGAATCTTCACTGGCTACCCTATATAATAAAGAGGTAATATGCAAATTGACCACCACTCCAACACACAAGATGGCCGCCCCCATATGGTCAAAGATGGCCACCACAAGATGGCCAGCAGGGGAGGGCAGTTGGGAGGGACCAGGCCTGCAGGGAAGGGAAGTTAGGGGCAATCAGGCCTGCAGGGGAGGGCAGTTAGGGATGACCAGGCTGGCAGAGGAGGGCAGTTGAGGGTGACTAGGCCTGCAGGGGAGACAGTTGGGGGGACTCAGGCCTGCACGGGAGGACAGTTAGGGGCAACCAGGCAGGAGAGGGCAGTTAGGGGTGACCAGGCTGGCAGGGGAGGGCAGTTAGGGGCAATTGGGCCAGCAGGAGAGGACAGTTAGGGGGAACCAGGCCGGCAGGGAAAGGCAGTTAGGGGCAATCGGGCAGCAGGTGAACAGTTAGGCGTTGATCAAGCTGGCAGGGGAGTGGCTAGGGGGTGATCAGGCTGGCAGGCAGAAGCAGTTAGCGGCAATCAGGCAGGCAGGCAGGAGAGCGGTTGGGAGCCAGCAGTACTGGATTGTGAGAGGGATCCCAGATTGGAGAGGGTGCAGGCTGGGCTGAGGGACACACACACACACACACACACACACACACACACACACATCTGTGCATGAATTTCGTGCACCAGACCTCTAGTTTTCCTATAAGATGCCTAAAACCCCAAATTTCTTCTTACTATCTCCTAGTACCTATTATTTTTGAAGTCATACATGAGAGCTGAGTTTTAAGCACAAAGGAAGAAGTATGCTATGTAGCAAGAGAAAACTAACACAAGAATTTCTCAGAAAGAACTTAGTGAATTGTGATAAGTTCCTTGAAGTTTCTCTTGAATATATGTAGTTTCTTCTTCATTAACTAAAATGATGGCTGTTTTTGTTTTGATTGACATTCTCCTGGTTGGTTCAGCTGGTGAAAGCTGGTTCCAGCTAACTTGGATACTTGCCACATGTCCAGAGAGAGAGACACGCTTATCCTGTGTGGGGAGATTTCATCTCAGGGGCCTTCCCGCCTCCTCCTCCTGCCCCACAGAGTCCCTTTTTGTTGAGGCGCTCACCCTCTTGGCTGTGTGTTCAGGGTTTAAAATGATCTAGATGCCTCCGGCAGGTGGGGGCAGAGGTGATTTGGAGATTGGTAATCCACCTTTAGGGCCCAATCACAGTAGTTCTGTCTCCCCTGTCCCTGAAAGGGCGGGTAGGAAAGCCATCTTGTGATGGACAGCTGGCCTCTTCCAGGGGGCGGAGATATTTTAGCCTTGACCCCCCTCTGTTATGACCCGCACCCGCCACCCTATTCCACACCATTCTCACTAGATCCGTTCCTTTCACTGTTCCAGGCCTGTCCTGTCCTGATGGGGAGCTTCAGGCATGAAACAATTTGGGAAATTCCCTACTTAGGCTCTTGCTGGAAAACCCCAAACGGAAGACACAGAGCCGATCATAAATCTGGGAAGAGCAGACCTGGGCACGGTTGACGAAGAGCCAGAAGAGCCAGGAGAAAGTTGCTGGTAGCTTCTTTTGTTTTTGGGCCTTTACCGCTGTTGGTCTAGGACAGTAGTCAGCAAACTCATTTGTCAACAGAGCCAAATATCAACAGTACAACGATTGAAATTTCTTTTGAGAGCCAATTTTTTTAAACTTAAACTATATAGGTACGTACATTGTTATTAACTTAATTAGGGTACTCCTAAGGCTTAGGAAGAGCCACACTCAAGGGGCCAAAGAGCCGCATGTGGCTCGAGAGCCACCATTTGCCGACCACGGGTCTAGGATCACACAGAATCTTCACCATAGGGAGTGTCCAGAGTAAAATGACTAGTTTACCTGTTTTATCTCTGAGAAACTTCTTTGTGTAGCTGCCAGTAACCTTTACCAGCTTAAAAAAAATCATAAAAGCTCCTTACTGTGTTTGAGCATCTTTGTGGCTTCTTTCAGTTGCCTGAACAGAAATGTAATGTTATGTACAACAGAAATATATTTAGTGTCTCCTTATAATTTTACACACACACACACACACACACACACACACACCACGCACACACACGCAGTTTTCTGTTTATAATTTCCTTCCCCATCTCTTTGCCCTAAACCTTATAATAATAAGCTCATTCATTCCCAACACCACTTGGCTGCATGATGTTTTTAAAGTGGATAGTCCTGCAGTGCTTTCCCCAGGTAAAAAGAGGTTGTTTGGAAATGGTATTGAGAAAGAAGCAAGCTGGCTATGCAGTAAGACGTGTAAGACCAGTAAACCGGCAGAGAAATGCTCGCTGTCTGGACGTCCCCAGCCCCTTAGCCCAAGGGACAGCACGCCTGCTGCCCTTTAGATATAGAGATGTTCCAATGCTCGACCTATGAACAAGCAGGCAGTTAGGAGGGAAAACTGGTCTGAAGAGTTCTCAGGCGTGGCGATCGCCCGATTGCACAAACATTGCCTCCTTGATTTTTGTCATCGTCTGGGAGAAGAAGAGGCATGAATAGGAATGTGTGTTTGGAGCGGCGGGGTGGGGCTGGCAGCGGAGGAGATACTTCCCCGCCCTCGGAGGAGACGGTAGAAAGAAGAAAACCCTCGTGGGGAACCTGCGGCGCGGTTCCTTTCCCTGTCCCCTTCCTGGGGACCCCCTGCCCTGGGCCCAGGCCTTGGGAGGCGGGTCCGTGCGCTCTGGAACTGCACGGTTCTCGTCTCCGGGAGAAGAGAACGCGGTCGCCCGCGCTGAGGACCATCCCTGGCACGAGACCCGCGCCTGTCGTCTCGGTGTCTACACAACCGCTACCGCGCGTCGACGCGCTCACATTCCGGGTTCTGCGCGCAACTCCCACGCCCGGGCCCCCTGCCCGCCGGGCGCCAGATCCGCCTCCTGGGCTGGACCCAGAGGGTCCTGGGCGGCGTCTTTAAGGCTGCGGTCCCCGCCCTCCCTCCTCCCCGCCCTCGTGGTGTAGCCGCGGCTCCTCCGACCTCCCCGAGAGCCCGGCAGCCAGGCGCGCGCGGCGCGGAGCAGGTGCGGCGAGCCCCTCGCATGCCGCTGCCCGGCCCGCCCCTCCTCCCGGCCGCACTCGGCTCCGGCGCGCGAGGACATGTCGTTGGCGACGGGCAGCAGCGAGGCAGCCGGTGGGGCTGGTGGGGGCGGCGCGCGGGTTTTCTTCCAGAGCCCCCGGGGCGGCGCGGGCGGCAGTCCGGGCTCCAGCAGCGGCGCGGGCTCCTCCCGGGAGGACTCGGCACCCGTGGCTCCCGCGGCCGGGCAGGTTCAGCAGCAGCAGCAGCAGCAACAGCAGCAGCAGCAGCAGCGGCGCCACCAGCAGGGAAAAGTGACAGTGAAATACGATCGCAAGGAGCTCCGGAAGCGGCTGGTGCTGGAGGAGTGGATCGTGGAGCAGCTGGGACGGCTGTACGGCTGCGAGGTACCTGGACACGGGGCCTGGAGGGTGGGGGCCTCCCTCTCCCCATGTGCCCACCCAGGAATTCTCCAGGGCCCGGTGCGCACGGTCCTGGCTCCCCCAGAACCCAGCGCTGGGGCGGGGCGCGGCGCGTTCTCGATCCAGGGTGCTCTCTGGCCCCGGGGAGCCGCGAGTGGGACGCCTCTGACTGGGTTCAGCCGCTGGGTGCCCCGGAGAGCTGCAGCCCCCCTTGCTGGCTCCAGATGTAAATTGTGTCCAGGATGGAGAACCAGACTTAAAATTGGTGACGGTGGGTGACGGTGTGGGGTTGGGTCTTGTTAAGCATATTGCCTTTCTGGATCTCCAGGGGCTCACCCCCAGCTGCGCTTAACCTCGGGGAGAACAGAACTCGCTCCTGGGATCCTGGTAATCCCGATTTTTGTGGAGAGGGAACCGAAAGGAGAGGTTCTGGGGATCTCAGAGGCCCCCTCTGCTCCTGAAATTCTACATCCAAATCAGGAGAGGAACGCGTTCCCTCTCCCAGGCTCCCGCGCCCCCCCCCCCCCCCCCCCCCCCGCCCAAGGTTTTTCCAAATTCACACAAATGCTGAACCCACTTAAGCCTTTGTGGAGAGGCGGCTTTTCTTCCTTCCTTGGCCAAGCTCAGCTGCTCCTGTGATGGTGCAGAATGAAAGCCTCGGGCGACCTCCCGGAAGGGCGCCTGGGTGGAAGGAAGGTAGCTCAGCGCTGGTCGGGACGCTGTGACCTCCCACAGCTCAGGGGCGCAGGCTGTACGCCACTCCGCCCGACATGTTTACATTTGATGTCAGGAGGAATATTTAGAACGAGCTGTGACAAAGGTAGGCTAGGAAAAGGACTAAGGCCAGTATGATCTCTCCTCAGAGTCTTTAATAACAGTAATTTAAAATGAAGTCGTCTACTTCTCCTGCGGGAGTGGAATTTGGGAAGGGTGGAGGAGGATTAATAATTTAGGACATGGCGTCTAAGTTGAAGCTAGGTCTGTGTTCTTACAACTGTTAACGCTCTTCAGTAACAATGAAAGCCAGATGGACTCCCTGGCCTTTTCATTGGTTTGGGGAAAACTAGAGTTTCACACCTTTTGTGGCCAATTGTGAATACGTATCCTCCTTAACATTCTCATCACACAAGGAAACAGCATTCTCATTATGGACTACTGCTGAATGGTTATGATATAATGAAGCTTGGCTATCTGACTCATGGGCTTGTAAAATATATTGTTTTTCCAGCCCAGCTCCTATAAAAAGCCATTTTAATGTCATGAATTAAAACTGGCCAACGTCGGAAGTGTTCATGTTTTTCTTAAGTAGGAAGCTGGCAAAACTCTCCAAAGGAACAATATATATGATCTGGATGGGGCTACTGCGTGCTCTGTCTTGCCTCTGTAGAATCCAATTAATTTTCATTTATTAGTTTCATACAGGCCTTTATACTCCATTTTGAATTTGAAAGATTTGAGTTCATAGAAAAACTGCTGTTGAAATTAACAATGCTTTGGCAATGTTCCTTTTATGGGAGACTGAATGGACGGAGCTTGGGCAACTCGAGAGAGTTCCAGACTCTCAGTAGGTTGCCAATTCATATGTTTTAAAAACTCTTCAGAATAACTAGGGAAAATGGAGGGTTGATTGTTCACTGTATTGAACATGTGGGTATAGTTTTTAAAGGGTGAATATGACCTTGAATCTTTTCTTTGAATTTCTTCTCTCCTTTTAGGCCTCCAACATATAGCAAACAGCTTTGATTTGAAAGATAGGTTTTGTGGTGAAATGATACAAGATGCTATATGCTGCCCCCCTGTCATTAAAATGTGGCAAGCACTTCTCTTCCAGTTGTGTGTTCTGTCATTTTGGAGTGAAGGAAGATAAATCATTGAGGTTGTTGGCAATTTGTAATTACTATGCTGATGGCACGCCTCATTTAATAATCGAAAGCACGTGGACAAATAATTAGCCGTATAAAGGATTGTCTTCTTCCATCTAGCTCTCCACTGGTAGGCTCTCTTTCAGCCTCGTTTCTCTGGCCTGGTAGCCTTCCCTTGCTGACAGCTTCAAGTAGCTCAGCCGTGACATGTGCATGGAGAAGGACTTACCCTGGCTTAAAGCTCTGAATCTCATGAATACGAAGGTTAGGAAATGCCCTTGTTTAACACTTAAAGTTGGTAATTTTTTCAAATATTTATCACATGAAATGGACACAGAAAGCCAATTTGCCTGAGCTAACAGCTAAGTTGGGGGTGGGGTGCGGGGAGAGTGGTTTGAACACGTATTTAATTTCAGAAGAACTTTTAAAAGGCAGGTCAGCTGTTAGATGACTTGTCCTTCACAGAGTAGAAAATACTGATCTTTTGGAGCAGCATTAAGCATGAGATTTAACATTAGAAAAGAGTGGGAAGGAAGAAATACACTTCCTGGCTGTGGTCTTATCCAGAAGTTTGCACTGCCATCAGTTTAGTATGTAGAATAATGTAAAGACAGGATGTGAGGAGAGCTTACTAGGTACCAGGTGCTGTTCTGGGCACTTTGTAGTCACTCACTCACTTAGTCTTTACAACAACCCTGTGAAGAGGGTGCTGCTAGTGTCTCTATCGTACAGATGAGGAAACAGAGACAGAAAGATTAAGAGGCTTTCCCAGCTCACATAGCTGGTGAATGGCAGGGGTGGGGGTGGGAGTGGACCCCAGGCTTGCCTGAAACTTGGCAGGGTCTCATGCAAGAGAACAGATGGAGGCCCTCATAGCACACATCTAAATATTTTAAAGTTATAAATTAAGTGAACAAAGGAGCATTTATCTACCTGCCTTGACAACAATAGCTTCAGAATGGCCTGGAGGGTTAGGTTTGGATTTGGAATTCTCAGGCTTCCCAGAGCTCAGAGCTGGAATGCGGTTGGGGAGAATCTTCCTGGGCCTGGGGTCCGCCCCCCTTTGCATTTCTAAAATGCTTAGTTATTGTGTTTACATTTATTTTCCATTTCATCTCCTTGTACAGTTTCCTCCTAGGAATTTGGTTGTAATGGGACTGTTAGGTTAAGTCTATATCCACAGTTAAGGCTTTCTGGTTTAAGACATTTTCCTATCTCTTCCAAACCCCGTCTGGTTTTAAGAGCATTTGAAATCTGGCATAGCATCTCCATGGACACATATTGCAAGATGACTGACTGGACAAGTCCTATCAGTTTTTCCATCTTTCCCAACATCTAGGTAACATCCGCACTCCCTGTTGTGCAATTACATTTGCTTTGGAAATAATAGCCTGTTGTTCATCTCAAAATTCAAGGGGAAGCCTCACCATAAACAGGTTTGTGCATCGAGGGTTTTCCTGAGTTGTTATCTGGACTGTCCATTTCAGAGGCCTTTCTCTTTGCTGAAGCGGCTGCATTTTAAAAAGTGGTTTCTGGCATATTACACCTTTTCTTCCTCCCCGACTCCCTACCATCCTCTGGCTGTAAATCAGTTTTTTTGATGGTGACTCATAGAAAGAAATACCCTTTGGATTGCTGCCTGACATACACACACAGACACGCGGATGTATGAGCAGAGCCACAAGCACCCCCTCATGTTACTATGTGCGCCAAAGAAAAAATTACAAAGGAAATAATAAGATGGGACTTCATTAATGCTTAAATCTGATGTTCTGTTCTACTTCATTTCCCAAAGTTGTTGGTTGTGACCCTCTAGATTGATCTCATAACACATTTCTGTACCGTGGGTTGTAGTTTAAAAAAATACTGTAAGGTACAGCATAGGGCAGCGGTTCTCAACCTGTGGGTCGAGACCCCTTTGGGGGTCGAACTACCCTTTCACAGGGGTCTCCTAAGACCATCAGAAAACACATATATAATTACATATTGTTTTTGTGATTAATCACTATGCTTTAATTATGTTCAATGTGTAACAATGAAATTGGAGGTCACCACAACATGAGGAACTGTATTAAAGGGTCGCGGCATTAAGAAGGTTGAGAACCACTGGCATAGGGACTATAGTCAGTAATATTCTAATAACTAGGCATGGCGCTGGATGGGTACAGGATTTATTGGGTGATCACTTGTTAATTTATGTCTGGCCACTGAAACCAACATAATGATATATGTCAACTGTAATTGAAAAAAAAAATGATAAAAAATACTACTTCAAAAAGGGAAAAGTCTAAACATACGTAATAAAATTAGCTGACATTTATTGAGTGCTTTCTATGTAACAGGTATGATTTGTGTAATCCAAGTAACAACCTCTCATATTCCATTTTATGGATGTGGAAATTGAGGCACAGAGAAGTCTGGAAGTTGCTCCAGGGCCCTCCGGTGGGACTTGGCTGAGCAGGGATGTGCCTGGAAAGTCGGATGGCACCTTAACCACTGCCTGTACTGCTTCCTGAGGGAGGACAGTGGGTCCCTTCTGTGAACCCCGTCTTTCACCCACTCTCCAGGTGTGATGGTTGGAACTTCTAAGCTGACTGACAGTGCCTGTGGGGATACCCCTGTCAGCGGGTGTGTTCTGTGCCTGCATCAGGCCTCTTGCTTGAAGTTCAGGTCCTTGCTTTGTATGTAGATCCGCTGCTACAACATCAAATTAGCCTGCTGTGCTGCTTTGTGAGTCCCTCGGCTGGAGGTAGAAACTGCTGCTTAGAATTTGGCTTGTGAATTATTTGGTGAAACACCATTTGTGTATTTGAGAATGAATAGCATTTTAAACAAAACTGCTTTAAAAAATCTCCATAAAGTCAATCTGTAAAATATTAAGGAATAAATTAAACATGTTAAAAGTCTATGAATAGCCCAGCTGGTTTGGCTCAATGAATAGAGCGTCGACCTGCGGACCAAAGGGTCCTGGGTTCGATTCCAGTCAAGGACACGTATCTTGGTTGCAGGCTTCTCCCCAGCCTGGGCCCTGGTCGGGGTGCATTCAGGAGGCAACCAATTGATGTGTTTCTCTCACATCGACGTTTCTCTCTTTCCCTTTCTCTTCCATTCTCCCTAAAAATC